ACAAAGTAATGTTTCTTACCTTTTCCATAGATTATGATCCAATTTCACTTTGAATTGTCCGTCTAAAATATGAAATCGTTGAGTTTTATATGAAGGACGGTCTGATTGAAAAGCTGCAGGCTTCTAGTTCCGAGTGCGCATTTTAAATAAATATATATATTGCTCACTGCTTGATGTGCTGTAAGATCATGCTGCCGAGATTCTGGACTTAGTGTCGTCTTAGCCTTTTTGGTGCGGTGTGTCACACCGCCCTTTACGGAAGATGAGTCGCCCTCGGCTTTGCTAGCCGAACGATGTAAGGCCAATCGGTGGAGGTGAAGAAGTCAAAGCGTGATAGACATCTTATTAAAAAAGAAATCTTGGACCAAACTTTTTCAAATGTTCTCGATTAATGAACATCAACTCTGGAACTGTGGGCAAGACTGCACAGACGGTTTGCCGTGGTCAGCCCTGCTGACAGTCCGTTGGTCTTTTCTGGGTCAAAGCCTTAGCCTAAACCCGAACCTTGGTTAGGTCGATGTAGAGGAGCTGTTTCCACAACAACGGCGTCTTGACAGAGGAAGTTGTATCCCTTGCCATGATGGTCTAGCGAGAGACCTGCGCGATCTTCGCCATTAATTTCCACGTGCAATTTGAATTAGATGAGAAGACGACGAGGCGCTAGCGAGTGAAGTAAGAGACTATCAGGAGCATAGGATGCAAATCTTTGAGTGAGCTTGAAATGAACAGCAGGGTCAGTTGAGAATGAAACTCGTACACATTACAGATCAATCGAACTCACTGGATATTTACAATCAAGACGCTCTATGTAATACATATACCAAGTACATCATAACAATACACAACTTTAGGTCAAGCAGAAGACTATCAGCTTGATAACCTCGCAATCCTACCATTCATGATGCATTAACCTTTTTCAGAATTGTGCCTAACTTTCCTTAGCAGCCAAAAAAACGCACAACCTGTACCGACGTGTCTGTCGTGCCTTTGGACAAATACGCGACAGTACCATCGGGAAAACTTTTGAGAGCTTGATAACGATTTCCGACTACAGACTTGGCAACTGTCTCCTTACTGCTAATTGTCTTGCCCGTCGACCCATCTAGAACTTGAGCGTACACTTGTCGATCGCCACCTTCTACCAAATCGCCACCCGCTGAGCTACCCTCCCACATTGCCAACAAACCACCTTCCCCGATAGAAGCTAGATGAGGTGCACGTTCATTAGCATCATCTCCACCTAAAGTGATGTCATCATCAGACGCAGAATTGATGGCAAAATGAATCAGATGGACTTTGGCATTCTCGCCGTTACCATTGCTCACTGTCGTCCAATATTTCGTACCAGACGCCTGACTGTCAGGAACAATGTCACCGAGGTTGGAAGCTGCTAAATCAACCGGGTAGATTGTTGTGCTCCAATCGTTCGGAGGCATGATACGGTTGTTGTTATCCGTCTTACATATTGACGTGTAACCCTTCTTGCGGTCATCGAACGTGAGACGTTCGTAACCAGAATGTGAACAGCCCCAATCGAACGAATCTTTTTGCGTTAGAATTTTACCAGATGGATCTACGACCTTCATGCGATCTCCTTGATGAATATTGATACAGCCGTTCTCGGACGTTGAGATAGCACAACCAAAATAAGCTGCCCAGTTTGTTCCGTCTGAGGCGATGCGGCCGTGATGTGCGTACCACCAAATCATGTATACGTCTGGTCCCGTCTTACCCGACGAATATGGTGGTAATGACGTACTGGACGACGTCAGTTTTGTAGCCCATGTTTCTGACGACCCGTCGTAACGAATGAGGTACATATCATAGCACGGGACAGACGGGTTTGGAGCTTCACCGCATAAGTTACTTGGATTACCACAGTTCAAAGTACCACCACCTTCTGCATCTCTTGTACCCAGTAGCACAAAGCCATCATCGTCAGCGTAGATATCAGCGAAATCATGCATCGGAACGGTTACTGCGTCTGAAGTACTTACTAATTCGTCATTTTCGTCCAGCTTTCGAACGATCACGGTATCGCCACTATGGACAGCGATAATTGAGCCACCCGAAGGCAATGCAGCAATAGCAACAACTTTCAAATTGACCTCATCTTCGTTCGCATCGACAGCTACACTAAGATCAACCTCTGAAATTTTTACTCGCATCTTGGCGCAGAGCTTTGAGTTGTCCGATGTCGCTGTACGATTTGAATTAGCCGATTTCGACGGTTTGACGGAAGAAGAAGGACTTGAAGCGGCTGGAGGATTAGCAGTAGATTTCTTTGCTTCAGTGGCAATCGGAGTTGTACTTGGCTCTACGGGTGGAGGTGTGCTATCATCAGGTAACTGGACAGCAGGCATCTCCGAATTGTCAGTCGTTGGAATTGGTGGATCCATCGTTACTTCGTCTGTCTGAACAGCTGGCGTCTCCAGTGTCTGCTGCTCTACACTATTATCGTCAACACTGGGAACGTCAATAAGGTCATCATCTTTAATACTCGGGGGTTCAGATTCAGGTGCTCCATTTGCGGATGGTGAAGCCATGTTCCAGTTAGAAAACGATAACCATGGATTCCACGAACCAAATGAAGGCATTGAATTATCAGCAGGTTGCATTGTTCCGGTGCTTAAGTTATTAAACGAAAACGATGGGAGCCAAGGGGTTTGAGACCAGTCGTGGGTTTTCGCACAGTCAGCATCGTCTACGACTTGATTACCACGAACGAGCAAAACTACCTTTGCAGCGATAAGGACGTGACTTAACCACATCGCAAATCGATGTCAAGTGGGCAAATGCGATGACGCGAGAACTTCCTACTCGACCGGGAAAGTCATTACAGATTGGTTTGCGGAATTGCACGCCCTATGCAATTGGGAAAGGCTTGGTAGCTGAACCTTTACACGATGTATGCAGCCAGCGTAAAAGCTAAGAAGTAATACAGCCGTTAAGTGTCTTTTACATTGTTCCAATATAACAACTTAGAAACGAGAATTGATTTATCAGACGAAATGTAGGGCGGGAAGATCGATACACTAAATCAGGATGTTTTTGATCAATCATCGTATTATATGTGTACACATAAGACAATCAGCCGATTTTGTGAATTATCAAAATTGCTATAATTTATCAATTATAGAGATAGCAGTGACAAGCAAGTCATGTAATGAATGATACATCAATAGGCTGTGTGTTTTGATTGAAGGCAACGTCTATCCCTTTGACATTTAAAACAGAGGTTTTCTGATCGCCATCGCTCCAGTGTTGTGTTGATTATCTCTTTCTATTCAACCCTCACGATTGCTAAAACATAGGAATTAACTCATAATAAAAGAAAAAAGCAACTGGCAGTATCTCGATTGCATAGAGCCTGCCCATCACATCAGATATTCTACATAAGGTTTCCTCCTGATGCACTTGTGAAGCACTGAACTGTTGACCCAGTGGTCACCGATTTGTTATCAGTCAAAAACAAGTCTACGAGAAAATCAGGTATAATAAAGGCATGTGCACCTTCATCAGTCAATCAGCTTTTTAAGACAAAAATCAAACTCACTGAGCTTCACACAAAACTCACTAAGGCTGGTCAGGCAACTCTTCGAGCGAAAAAATAAGTGTGTCTTATCTTAGAAGGTATAGGTGTTAAGGTGAATACAAAGCACATTTGAACTCAAATAGATATCCTACACACATCATTATAAACGTTATCGATATAGATTTACGTGGAATTAGGATGAGCTACGGACGAACGAAAGATTAGTATCTTTGGAATTTCGATCGGAAATCAACTATAATCGAATTCTTTGTGGTAAAGCTGCGAATTTTGAGCTGAGCTTCGCTATCGCTCAGGCTTTCTTGTCAAGGAACAATATATATATCAAATGTTCATGAAGTCAAGGGTCAAACTGCTTCCATTCTTGGTGCATTTTCATTGGTACAAATCAAAGTGACGGTATTCAAAGACCGCCTCAGGGTAATATCTTCTTTCTCAAGAATATGGCAGCATTACCAAATACCCTCAGCTGAAGTACAGCTGCAGCGGGGCTGCCGTAGCGTTGCGCTTAGAGGAAGCATAATTTAGGTCACCGACCTTTCGTTCTATACTTAGAACAATACGAGTTAGTATATCGCAATCCGCTTACTCCAACAGTAATTATTTCCCTGACCCAAGACTAATTACTCTTTCGTTTAAAATTCAAAACTGATTTTTATCTGCGGCCCTCCTTATTTTAAACGTATAAATTTTCCTTAATATAATATATTATATAGTATCATCGAAACACATGTATAACTACTGGCTACCTAGCCACATACCGTGTTCTTGTTTGGGTGCAGCCACACTATGCCCATCTCTTGTGACACACACCTATTACCAGAGTACGTGTAGCCCCGTTGCACTCTCCCCCATTAAGATTTAGAGCATTTACAGCTCCAGTCGATTATTGCCTCAGCGAGGCTTGCGTGTCCGCTAGACACTGCAACTTGGATCGTTGGAATAAAACGACTTCCGTGCTCAATGACCCCTGTGTCAACGACACTGAAGTCACCAAGTCTCGCTGGTTCTGACAGCGAATACGGGCAGAGCTTAACTTCGTCTCCCACGTGCGGTGCGATGTCGGACAGTGCGTCCGCGGCACCAGGGGATGTAAATCCTAGGCTCGATGAGCACGAGCTTCCCGCTCCGTGCACGATATCAATGACGAGTGACCTCGTTGAGGATGTGGAGGTGGTCGGCTACGATTCTGACACTCCTTCACCCGCATGGGATGACGAAGAAGGCGTGACATGAGCCCTGCTCGCGCCTTGCGGACCCCATGTCCATTCCCTGACTCCTCGTCACCTGAGGGACGGGGTGTAATCACCAATGACCTCGACGAGGCACAGAGGCGGCAAATGGTAGCTGCCCATAAGGCGGCTTTGAAGCGCGCTTATCCACGGTCGGTCATTGACCCTCTTGTGGAATATGGCTTCCGCCCAGCGGGTCGCGCTGCGGAAGCGAAGGCGATCGTTACGTGTCCTCATCATCGGGCCCTGGTCATTACGGAAGATGAGCTTGGCAAAAGGAAAGCTCTTCAAGCTCGTTTCTAGGTTCCACAAGAATTTCCGCTGGAAGCTTATTGCACTCGTTTGAGTGCTCATCGAGGTAGCTCTCGTGTACCCGCAATGCGGAGAATGCCTATAGTGTTCGCCCCTGGCGAAAGCGCGACAGATGACGAAGCGCTCTCTGAGCGATGAGTGCAACGGCACCGAAAACTTTCCTCACTGTATAACCTACAGTCGAGCCATAAGGAAGTGGACGTGCGTGTGGAGCGACACTTCCGATTTGAGTTTGCCAAATTCAAGACACGCCGTCGACTTCCTTCGGATCGTCGCCCTGCGACGATGGGTTGACCCCTAACGCCCCCGCGATTTCTGTATCTGCAACCGCAAGAGCTCAGGGCCACTGCTTGAGCTCGACTCATGGCCCTTCTACTACTTTGGACGTCCTGATCTATCCGATCAAAAACGTCCACGGCGACTGAAATATCTTGCCGAAATGGCGCCTCAAACTCACACGATTTTTAGGAGTTGGGATATTCCCTCCACTTCACCAGATATTGGGTTTGACCCTAGTGACGACGTCGTCTCACTAGACGTTCCACGTGATAGTGAACACCACCGTTCTCATCGAGAAGAGTCGGTGGCGGACGGTGGCAACCGGGTCGACCGCCGTCCCGTGACTCGCGATGAGGACGAGATCCTCCGTGATCGGAGTTCCGCTGAGCGTCATGCTGAAGTAGCATATCGCTGTGCGGACGCTCTCGACGATTTGAAGCATGTCGTGCGCCGGCTGCCTCACCTTTAGGACTACCGCGCTCTGTCTGAGCGACTTCTAGCCGTGGAGCAGGCAAATGCGTTGCTTCATGCGACGGTGGAGCGCTTAGCGACTTTTGGAAATGGAGGCTGTTGCACTCCGTGCTCAAAACCAGCTGCTGCCTCTGCTTTTGGGTGACCAAGGGCCCGTAAAATCCGCTCCGGCGCCAACGTTTCCGCGTTCACTGGCGCCGGATCCCGGGACGGCTTGAGCAAGCTCACGTAAAACACCTAGTGGGTGGGCATCCGGTTTGCGAGGTTCAGCGTATACGCTAGACCCCCGCTTCGCCACAACCTTAAACGGTCCGATCAACCGTGGACAAAGCTTCGTCCTGAAGGTAGCAGAGGCTGCATGGGTAGGCAGGTTTTTAGAATTTAATAAAACCTAATCCCCGATATAAAAGCTTTCCACTTTTTCTCTTCCTTTTTCATCTGCATATTCTTTTTGCAGATCTTGGCTTTCAGCCATCGCATCGCGAACGTGTCGTAGGACACTCACTTTGGTAGACAAGAAGTCACCGACTTCTTTGCGGATGGTGAGGGGGCTGACATCAGCAAGCCGTTTGGCTATTCCTCCGCCACCAAGCCCTGAGCCATGGGATGGCGGCGTTAGGGGGACGCCAAGGGTAAAATAGCCCGTTCACGTAGAGCGGTGTGTAGT